TCCTTCTACCAGAAATGTCTCGACCTCTGTTCAAGATAGACTGAAATTTATTATTATTATTACATTTTTCCATTGAAAGAAGTAAGACAAATGAACAGGATTTAAGATTATGCCAATAACTCCATACGCTCAAAAATTGACGATCGCCTGGTCCCATCGCGTCGCGATACATTTGGTCATTTTGTCGGGCGGCCAGTTTCACCCTGGCAGTGAAAGGTATTATCTAATGTCGTACTTGGAAATACGTACGTGTAGGTGGGTGGTACACCTGCCTCTCTGGTGGTACGGAAGTTTGGTCTCTTGGAGGTGGCAAACGTGGGCAACAGCTATAACGAGCTTGCCAAGCACTGATCTAGGTTGTGTAGATAGATCCATAAAAGACCTTAATTAAATATTTTCACCATCGTATTTCTTAACCAAACTCAAAATGATCAACACCATATTCATCCCAACACTCTCCTACCAATGCCAAACATGGACCACGAACAAGACATTAGAGCAAAGAATTACAGCATGCCCCCCCCCCCCCTCTTTTAACCCATGATTCCATATTTTGCAGTTAAGTTTGAAATTTTCTTGAAAATACATGGTTTGCGACAGTTTTAGTGGCTACATGTGTGATCTGCAGCAAATAATTCGCAGTTTGACCCCATAAAGCAGTGCATCTGTGTGTGGGAGTGCGTCTGCGAACAGTTTCTGGGTGCTCGCCGGAGACGTCTCCGAATATCTTCTACCCTCTGCGCGTGTCCGAACCTCGTCGCTCTAGTTTTCAAACTGCAGGGGTTAGTTTCATTATTTCCCATCTAGCCTAGCTCAACGAGGAAAGGGCGTTGTAAGAGGCTTGTTTGAGTTTGTTGGTTTGAAGGAAAAGGAGCACATAGGCATAATAACGGTTAGAGGTTAATTTATTGTTCCCAATCCACTTGTGCACATAGAAGAAATGTGAGGCATCGGGGTGGAATCAGGCACTCGTCAATTTTTGGGCATTTGGAGTTATTGGTATCATCTTAAAGCCTGTTCATTTGTCTATCTTTAGGGGAAAAAAAGAACCCATCTATCTTTAATAGAAGTCGAAATATTTGTGATTGAAGTAAGTAGGGTAATCTGATTTCAGAGGAAAAATAAGGGAGAAAATGACAGCCAAAGCTTGGTATCTTTCTCTGCATGAGAATCCTTGAAAACTGAATATTTACATTTTTTGTACCTTTAATCAACGTTCTTTTGGATAATCCGCACAGAAATATGTTTTTAAATGGACATAAAAGCGAGCTTAAAAACAAAAATTATATAAAAATTCCAAAATGGGCAGAAAAATGCCAATATCTTTGATTTCATCATTTTGACGAGAGCCTGATTCCACCACGCTGTCTCACAAATAACTTTAGGAGCGGCTTGTTTGCATTTGGTGGTTTGGGGAAAAAGAAGCTCATCAACACGATAACTGTCACTTGGTGCTGAAAAAAAAAAGTTGAAGACTGACATCAGAAATAAAAGAGAAATACGTAAAAATGTGCAATCTACCAGTGACGCCCACCAACCATCTATTGGCTTGTTCTAGATAATGCATCACAAAAAGCAACAACCTCCCCCCAACCC